TAGAGTAGATAGGGCGCCTGGCGCCATTCACAAGAGAGAGCTACATTTGGGTTATGCTGTTGGTGTTGCCCTGTTGGGCATGGACATTGACTCACAATTCTTCTGTATCATTCTCAATTGTATGGTTACTCGGTTCCATGTGCTATCTGCTTTGGCTTTGACTACTTGGACTTCAGTGTGATTTTGCATTCAGGATTTCTGTGCTTTGTCCATATTCATGTTCCTTGCAATTTGGTATCACAGCTGGTTTGATCGCCACTTACCTTTGGCACGCTGGCGTTATACAGACTTGGTGCGTTGATGATGCTTCTTCGCAGTGGGTACTTGTGACGTCAGGCTACTATAGGTGCACGCCCTGGGTAGAGAGGGGTGCACCGGAAGGCTATTACGGCAGTGTATGCCGTGGGATACARCGGAATGTTTGATTGATGATGAGAGCATGCTGATGTGGCATTGGACTAAGGTGGCACTGCATTGCGTTGTGGGTGGTACCGAGGTCAAGACCGGTCATCAAATGCAACATCAGCTCAATTGGTGAGAAAATCTCTGGTTGGGGGCAGCTATCATAAGGTATGTTGATCCCTTACCTTATCTACTCTCTCAATCTCTTCTTACCGTGAGGAAGTGAGTCCAACTTGAGAGTCCTCTCTTTTGGTGAGGTGTCATGAGCGCGCTACCTTGAGAGACGACAATCTTCCCGGAAGCATCTGGAAGGAGAAAGGGCGGTGCCTCTAAAGGGCCCTGGTCGAAGCACTGGGTCACGGTCACCATCCCAACCCACAGGGAGTAGTGCACGCATGCGATGGCTGCTGTCCTGTTTGGCACTTGCTGCGCTATAGAAGTTCCTCCGGGTGTGCCAGCCCATGACAGACGCTTACCAGACCGTCTATAAACATTTCTGGTTGGGAGTTCATTGTGAATCTGGCTGTGATCGTCGTCCTGACTGCGACGTTAAATAATTCCTGTCGAGATGGGGGCGCTCTATAAATTCCTTCTGATCAGCCAGATCACATGGATAGGAAGGCTCGTGGCCGTACGAGGGTAAATAAGAGTGGTTGGGCTGGCTTGCTCGGTGACAACTTGGGCACAGGGGTGGGCCGATACACACACGAAGACACTACTCGCTCAATGATGCTGTTCGGTATGTTGGATGGAGGGGAGGGTAGGTTCTAATTGATGCTCAACTGTATACACAACCATACCCATCAATCATACGTCTGCTACATTGTCTTTTGTACCTTTGATTAGTTGGTGGAGAGACTGCTAACACCTCACAGACAGATTAGTGTAGGACTGTTGTATGCTACCATAGCCAATTCTAACTAATGCTGTTGTAAGTGAACAAGTCAAAGTGCGTTTAGACTATGTAGACAATCTGTGTGAATGTTGTAGACATGCCACTTGATCGGTACAATAGAGGACTTGCCGGACACAACCATTTCTAGAAAATTAAGTGTCGGTCAGACACACGTTGCGGTAGGATTCCATTAGGGGATTCTAGTACAGATAAAGTCTGCCTAACTCATGAGCGGATCTGTCGTCGATGAGGAGATAGTTGACGATGGTAGATTAACACGTGCAAGATCAAGTAGGATCCCGTACGTGTTCAGGACCCTAGACGAGGGAGAAGAAAGACGGCTTCGTGCCGAACGCAGAGCCCGTGCTTTCGCAGCATCGAGAGAAGCAGCAAACCTTGCAGCTACGGAACAGGCTGCAGCAGCAGCCAGGGCAGCAGCCATGACTTCTTCAGCAGCATCCTCCGCTGCAACTTCTGTTGCATTCTCGTCTGGACCCCAGTTTGGAATGCCAACAAGGTCCACGGGCACTTCCAGTTTATCAGGTTCTAGACAATCTACAAGTCAAATGGAGGGCTCGCAGTACAGCCCGTTGACTCCTCGCGAAAGGGAGATGAGGGAGCTCCAGCAGGTCAAAAGGATCCGTGCACAGTTAGAGAAGGATCTGAAAGAGGCTACCGATAGAGAAAAAGAGATAAAGAATAGAACAGCCAGGCTTGAAACGTTAGAGACTAACAAAGCGAAGTTTGAGGGCTTAGATGACTCAGGAATGAATGAGCCCATGAAAGTGTTGAGGGACAACATGTTGTCGCTGCATGCGCGCTTGGACAGCAGGATGGACTTCATGCAAAACACTTTGGACCAGATCCTGGACATTTTGTCAAAACTAGGATTCAGGCCACCAGCGCAATCGCCGTTGCCGTTAACGGCGATGTCAGGCCCCTTTCCAGTTCAAGCTGGTTCACAACCAAGTGGTACGTCTGCAGCAGCCGCACAAACTCTTGCATCTTCTTCTTCGGGTCCAGCGGTGATTGCTACATCACCACAACAACCTGTTCAGCAATCTGGACAGTCCCAAGGTCAATAGTACCCCAAGACCCCAATGAAACCGCCTCTTGCCTTCTCAGGCGAGAGAAAGGACGAGGAACTCAACACATGGTTGAGGACGGTCCCGGTTTGGGTGAAGGCCAAAAGGACCTTGCCTGAGGACAAAGTGGTAACTGCGGCGTCTTACCTAGAAGGTAAGGCAGCCAAGTGGCTAGATGGTGTAGTTGTGAAGGCCGGGTATGGGCGACGCATGGCGGATTGGGCTAAGTCTTTGACTTTATACCAATTCATGGAAATGGTAGAAGAACAAGCTAGACCAACGAAGGTTCAGGTCAATTAGAGAGCTTACGACTACCGTTGAGAGCCTAATCCTCGTCCGAGGCATCGACTACAGTGACCAGCTCCTGCTAACTACTTTTGTTAGATGTTTACCAGAGAACATCAGGAACTTACTGGCCAGCAAGGCACGCACTGTGTACCATTCGTTTGAGACATTGTCTAAGAAGGCCTTAGATTAGGAGGCCACTCTAGGAAATGCTCAACCCACCTCACAGAGTGACTCAAACTGAGATTGACGAACCCTCTGACCTGATGGACTATTCAGAGCAAGATGGCGAGGAGGTAGCTGAGGGTAGCACCCTTGCCGCAGTAGTAAAGACTAAGGCAGGTGGTTGAGGGAAGGGCCAACCTAGGGGTCAAGGAAACGCCGCCTCCAATCAGACCAAACAGGCTAACTGGGTTAAGGCATGTCTTGATCAAGACGTGTGGCGTGACCACCAAATGCGTGGCGCTTGTATCAACTGCGGGGAATACGGACACAGCAGTACAAGTGCCAGAACGCTAAGGTTACGCAAAAGGTTGCTCCAAAGGTAGGGGCAACTTATTCCCAGGCTTCAAGCTCGGGAAACATGTGAGGCCAGTGGAAGTATTAGCTGCTTCTACTCAAGATGAAGTAGGAATGATACCCTCCCTACTTCATGACAAGGCCCAGGCTAATGACCCCTTAGTCGCCCCGCAGACACAACTAGACCAGACTATGCTCTGTACGTTAGATGTGTCTGAAGCCTTAGAAGACTTGGAGAGTGAGTGGTCAAACAAGGACCCTCGCGAGTCTTGGGTGGCGCTGAGGAAAGGTCCTAGAGGGGAACATTTCGTGGTGGAAGTCGATGTAGAAGGCCGCAAATGGGGTGCCTTCATAGACATAGGCTCCACGCGGAATTACATAAGTCGCGACTGTTTGGAAAGGCTGCACCTAAAGGACCGGGTACGACACCTTAGTAGACCAGTAGCATCTACTTTGGCCAACAAGGAGCGCATGATTGTAACAGACTACATCAAGGACGTAGTCTGTACCTTCTCCTATGGAGGAGGTGTGCTTAACCATAAGATCTCGTTCTTAGTTAGCGACGACTTGCCATTCGATATGCTGTTAGGCATGTACAACCTCGAAGTTGCTAAGCCCCAGTTCGACTGGGATAAGAAGGTGCTCAAACACAAGTTGCCCGAAGGCCGAACTGTCACATTGACTAAGTTCAAGGCCAGTAGCATTATAGATACCTATGGCTGCTTGTGCGCATCCGCGTTCTACAACTATTACAAGCAAAACGAAGAGGAGGGTATGTACCTTGTTTATGTCTCTGAGAAGGGGGAGGTCGTTAAAACACCCCCAGAGATAGAACGCGTCGTTGCTAAGTTCCCTGATCTGTTCGAGGAGCCCACAGGAGTTGTTGAAAGGGAAGTCGTCCACGCTATAGAAATCATTCCAGGGAGTAAGACCCCAAAGGGAAGGATCTATAGGATGGCCCCCGTCGAGTTAGATGAACTTCGGCGACAGCTTAAGGAGCTGACAGAGAAGGGTTGGATTCGGCCTAGTGCTTCCCCTTACGGATCACCCGTTCTATTCGTACCGAAGAAAGGGGGTACATTGAGGATGCGCATTGACTATAGAGGCCTCAATGCCATCACTGTGAAGAACGCAGAGCCTCTACCTCGCATAGACGACCTATTGGATAGGGTGCAGGGATGCAAGTACTATACCAAGATAGACTTGAAATATGAATATCATCAGATCGCAATAAGACCTGAGGACCAACACAAGACAACTTTTCAAACGCGTTATGGTCTGTATGAGTTTGTAGTGATGCCCTTTGGTCTTTGCAATGCGCCGGGTACATTCCAGCACGCTATGAATCCGATCTTCCATGACCATTTAGATACGTTTGTTGTGGTCAACCTAGACGACATTCTGATCTTTAGTAAGTCTGCCGAGGAGCATGCACAACATGTTGAGACGGTACTTCAACTCCTTCGACAACACAAGTATAAGGTCAACTTAGAAAAGTGTGCATTCGGTCGCACTACGATACTATACTTGGGTCATGTAGTATCCGAGGAGGGAATTAGGCCGGAAGATGCGAAGTGGCTAGTATTCGAGACTGGCCACAACCTTAGACAGTCACTGAGGTCAGATCATTCTTCGGAATGTGCGGCTATTATAGAAACTTCGTAAAGAACTATTCTACAGTCGCCTCTCCTTTGACTGATCTAACTCGACTTGACACACCGTGGGACTGGAGTGATGAGTGCGAGAGTGCTTTCAAGAGATTGAAGCATGCACTCATGAATCATGAAGTTCTCATGGTTCCCGATCCGCAGAAGCCATTGATAGTAACCACTGACGCAAGCCAATACGACATTGGCGCAGTGCTGGACATCATCCGCAAACTTCAGGCAAAAGACAAGGCCACAAAAAGTGAGTTTGTGAAGGTGGATGGGCTAATCTATCTTGATAAGGCCGGAGTAAAGAGATTGGTAGTTCCATCTAGTGAACAGTTGCGTAGTTTATTTTTAGGCGAATGTCATAACGCAACTGGGCATTTTGGCTACGAGAAGACGAGTGCTAACTTAGTACAACGATTTTGGTGGCCCCGGATGTTAGATGACGCAAAGAAGTATGTTGAGACCTGTCAGGTCTTTCAGCAAGACAAGCCGCGAACTCAAGCACCGCTTGGGTTATTGAAGCCTTTACCTATTCCTGATGGTCCAGGATCGAGTGTTTCCATGGATTTCATGGACACTCTTGTGACCAGCAAGAGTGGTAACTGATACGCTAGACTAATACCAATGCCAGAGACAGTCAGGACATAATATGTCATCAAGTTGTTCAAGGACAACTGGGTAAGGGACTTTGGTTTACCAAAGACCATCATTAGTGACCTAGACGTCCGATTGACAAGTGAGTTGTGGAAGAAGACTGCGGAACAGATGGGCAGTCAACTTCAAATGACTTCAAGGAATCATCCCGAAGCCAACGGATAGGCCGAACAAATGAATAGAGTTGTACAACACTTGCTGAGGCATTATATCAAGCCCAGCCAGGATGACTGGGATGAGCAGTTACCTCTATCGCCAGCCTGTACAACAATGGTATGCATAGCAGTACCGACGTTAGTCCTAACCAACTGCACTTCGGATGGAAGCCTAGATCAGCATTAGACTTCCTCCTACCTGAAAACCGACCTGCTGCAACTCTAGGCACACTTGAATACGGTGTGCAATATGAGAAATTGCTGCAAGAGGCTGTTGAACATATGAAGAAGGCTCAGCATACCATGATTGCTTCTGAAAATCAACATCGCAGACAGTCCACATTTCAGGTAGGGGAACGTGTCTGGGTCAAGGTTAGTGAGTTAGGACAAGAGTTCGGAATATCTCGCAAACTAATGCCTCAATACTTTGGTCCCTGGGAAGTCTTGGATGTTGTGGGAGATGAGTTGGATGGTCCCACATATGTCATTCGTGTCCCTGGACATCTACGCACTCACCCAGTCTTTCATGCCTCAAAGCTTGCACCTTCTGCTGAGACTGATCAATTCCCTTCCAAGAGATCGATGCTGCCCCCAACCATGGATGGACAAGTCGACATCGACGATATTGTGGATCACAGGGATATGCCTGTTCCGAAGCCGCTGGGTCGAGGAAGACCTCCTAAACCCAAGAGGGAGTACCGGATCAGATTCAGGCATCATACGGATCCGAAAGAAGATCGGTGGTTTACCCGAGAGGAACTGATGGAAATAGCTCCTCAGGTGGTGGTAGATTATGAACGGAAGCTAAAAGGGAAGGCACCTGCGAAGTAAGCATCTCAGCGGACTTTCAAAGCTAAGGGGGATGGAATGTGAGGATTGAGCCCTCAAGTAGGGGCCTTGCCATGATGTTAATGTTCTGGGCTAAGGCCCCAACAAGCCTCGTGCCCGCCCTAAGTGAAGGCGGGCCAGCAAATCAAAAAGAGCCCTCTGTGCCAACATTTCACGAAGTGGGGTCCATACAGTTGCAGCACGCCAGTTGGTTGGTGTGCACCGAGTATCGGAGCTCTGCAAATGCAGAAATCCCAGGGCCCCGAGTTGGTTAGGCCTAGGGCACATAAACGTGAGGCCGACAATGCATGCTGGATATAGAGGTCGAAAATGCCAAAGGGAAATCGGCCCACTGTCTAAATCTGGCCGCAGGCCTTGATGAAGGAGGCGCAACTGCATTGCCCCGGGGCCCAACTGTAT